AATTTTATTTATTTTTATTTTTAAATTTTAGTTCTTTTAAGTTAAAATTCTCCATCTCTCTACGTATTATTTTTTGAATGGTGTTAACCTGCTGAAGTTTTGCCAGAATGGCGCCTGGCTGCGTCTGGGTTCGGTGAACTCGAAGACCTGGGACTGGGATATGCCATCTGTCACCATGTATTGTCCCTGATTTAATGGATCCTGGGGTGGTGGGTAGGCTGGAGGAACCGACTTGGAGTAGCTCACACCTGCATCGATGATTGGGGGGAAAAAGAAACAGATCAGTCAAAGTGCAATTGGGTCAATAGTCTTTCTTCGTCATGCTATGGCTTCTTATCACTTAATAACCAGGGTCCCAAACCGCAGGGCGACGTGCTAGAGACGGCAGATCTACGGAGGAACGCAGCAGCTGCCTAAACCCTCAGCTTAGAGGCTGCCTACACTGGACCACGAGATTTGGAAAAGCTCCGTTACTTTTGTATGGGCAGAGTTCTGCCTGCCCTGATGGAAAAGTCCTGCGTGAGCTAAGGAGGCACAAACACAGGGCCAGGCCCCGTGTTGGATCAACCTGGCCAGACCGAGGCAGAAATCCGTGTCAATCAACCCACTCGCGAATTTAACACTTGGCGTTTCCAAGCTCGTTTTTACCCTCCCCCCCAGCTATGCCTGGAGCACGGTTTTGCCCCGACAGGCCCCAGTGACCAGCCCCGAGCAGGGTGACCCCGGGGACCGCTCGGCAGCAGCTCCGGCAGCAGAGCAGAGCAGAGCTGCTCCGGAGGAGGCGCTACGCTGCAGGGACCCGCGTCGCTCCGGTGCTGTTCTACGCAAAGGGCAACCCGCTACTTTCTTTAGGGAAGTTTGTAGGACTTTTCCATAGGGTTCACTTTAAATTTACCAGCCTGGCTCCAGCCAAAAACGGCTGCACGCAGCACAGAAAAGGCCGATTCTGCCCAATGCAAAGCAGTAGCAATGGATGGACTGGCAAGGCTACGCTTCCAGGGTCTAGATGCGCAATTCCCACATACGTGAGTCGCCGCTCCTGTGCAGGGATGGGGTGCAGGGATGCTGCCCCTACAGCTTTCCCACGGAAAGGGGGAGCTTCAGCACGCTGGGACCTACGCAACCCGACGTAAAGGATGGAGTAGAAAGGGTGGCTCTGGGTGAATGAAGTGGAAGAGAAGGGAGGGCTTGTCACCACCCAAGTGTCGGCTACAGGACCAGAGCTACTGCTGTGTTTCCTTCCCCACAACACCTCTGATGAGGGATAATCCCTCCTCCAGCCTCAGGGTAGCGTGATCGCCTGGAAACCACAGCTCCAGAGAAGGAGGGAGGGGCCGGGCTCGGAAGCAGGTTGCTGTAAGCTCTGGCCATCTCTGGATCCCCTCTGCCGCGTGCAGAACTGCTCTTCCTTCTGCGGGGAGGGCAGCCCCGGCCGCATGACGGGTGGGACGCTCCGCAAGGGCCATCGCCAGGCCACCGCCTCCCCCGGCTTTAACCGCAGGAGCGAGGCGACTCTACCCAAGCAGATCAGTCTCCTCATCTGGAAAGCGGGATGGCATCACCCACCTACCTCACACGAGGGTTGTGAAGCTAAATTAATTAATGTTTGTAAAACACTTTGAGATCCTCGGCTGGGAAGGTGCTAGAGAAGGCAAAATATGGTGATTAGCACCCAGGCACCACGGCAACGCGTGTAAAAGAAATGCGACTCTTTGCATCAGTTAGCGGTTCCTACCGACACACAAACACATGCTTTGCGGGACCAGTGCCGGCCGCCCGGGCACAGGAAGGCTGCACACAGTCGGGTACTTACAGACAAAGGAAAAGCCTCACAAAATGCACTCACGGAGCTCGTCTGACAACTTCTGTATGTTGCCACACTGCAATTCAGGACCTCTTCTAGACACACAGCTAAGATACGGCTTTAGGAAAGAGAATTCATTCGCTTCCCCTGGCAATAGAATTTACCCATCGAGGGTTGGGAGAGTCCTCGGAAGGTTCAGACCAAACGGAGATACCATCTTGGCCATGTCTAACCGACTTCTCCTTCTGTGCAGCAAATACCATCAGACCACGCCGTCCGCTGCAGGGAGGAACCAAGACCTTCCCTTACGGCGGAGAGAAAACGCTCCGTGATTCCCACTGATTAACAAATTCATCACCGTTAGTATTTCAAATGTACTGAAAAAGAACAACCTGGAGACGCTCTGCATCTGTGTCTGCAGGCTGGAGTACAGTTACTCAGCCACAAGCTTTCTACTCCAGCCTTCCCAAGCTGCTCCCTCCCACGGGAAGCCTGCAGAGCAGAGCGCAGCCCTTGGGTCAAACCTGGAGCGGGGTCGGTTCTGGGACTCCCGAGACAGCTTCTGCACCGTCCCCGTTGGCGGGCCCCAGAGTTTGAGTTCGCTGCGCTCCGTGACTTAACAAAGCCCCGTAAGGCAGAGCCTGGGCTGCAGCTCATCTCCGCCCCACCTCTCACACCCCTCCTCCAGCTCAGCCTGTGGGCAGCCTGACCAGCCCGGAGTTTGCTCCGGGCAGACTCCAGCCCTGCACCCACGCAGGGGTGGAGACGTTCTCCCGGAGGCCACCAGCCTCTGGTGCCTTTTGCCAGCAGAGGCTAGCGAGGGATTTTATAATCTGTGGGAAGGTTAGGATCTGGTACAGACCCCTTAAAAGGGCAGAGCTGGGAAATACATCTTTTGTCTGGGAAGTGGTTTGGGTCCTCGACTGACCCAAAGGACCAGGAATGACTTCAAAGGGCTTGTGCCACCAAGATTACTACTTGCCACTTGGTGGCTTGTGCCACCAAGCTGCTACTAAGGGCTGTAGAGGAACCGTTTCTAGCTTTGGCAAGCCCTAACCCCACGCTGCTGTAATGACACGGCCCAACATCTCTCGCATCCTGCGGCTGCCGAGCAGCGGTCAGCCCTGCGATGCATCCGCTCTGCCAGGCTGAGCTGGGCTGAGCTCTTCATCATCTCTCAGCCAGCTCGTGGAGGGTTAACTGACGTATTTTAATCGTGATAGAGAAACGCTAAGAAATCTCCTGGATCAGAAAAACGTTACGTGCTTAGAAGGCTGAAGAAGTAGAGAAGGGACAGTCTGGCTGAAGTCCAGTGACACGGATGGAGTTGCACTGCAAGGAACGTAATCCATAGTCTGTCTTCTCCAGCAGAGAAAAAGGCAGACTCCCCTGGCCAGATCGCTAGCAAAACCCATTCAGTTCTTTCCCCAAATAGCCTTTTTGGTCCAAACTCCTGAAAAAAGGTCTCCCCTTGCTTGAAACACCCCCATGCACACACTGCCACTTCCCTCGGCAAAGACGCTCCGACCCATACCCTCCGAAATGTTTGTGTGGCTCTGCTCCGGGGCTGCCGGCACTGCCATCCGAGCTGGATGAACGTCAGAGCTCCCGGCTGGTTCCACTTAAGGAGCAGCCAAGGGTTTGCACATTTATCATATTTATCAAACTGCCTCCTGAACGACCGAACTGCGGATCCCGGGGGCATGCACGGTGACCGCGGTTGTGGGCATGCAACGAACACACTCGTGCTCTGGCGAGTCAGGCCCCTAATTCCAGAGGAATACACTTCTCCTTGAGGAGCTGCCACTTTGCAACTGCTTGAGGTGCCCCACGAACGGCTTATTTGTTATTTTTTTTGGACATAGCCCCATTCTTGACAAGGTGGAACATGGGAGTTGGGGCGGGGGGGGAGGGAGCTTCACCTAATCTCTGCATCTTCAAATCCTGAGAAATTCTGGGAAGAAGTATGACGGTTTGGTATTTTTCTGCCCTGCTCTGCAGTGATTTACTCCCTGGTCAGAACTCGGGGCTGCTGTGCAAAACTGTCTCTTGAGGGCCTTTTTTTTTTAATATATATACGCAAAGCCATAACTCCACTGCAATCCAAAAGAAACGAGCAAAGCTCGTTCCCAACGGGATTCTGGGCTGCTTGGCAAAGCGAATTCAACGCGCAGAGGGCAAGAATCGATGGAGAAGTAATGGTTTCTAGACACAGCTGCCGCGCTGCCTTTCCCAGGCGTCAGAAAGCGGCTCTGCGCCCGTGAGCAGACTTGGAGCTCCTTCTGCTGGTTCATGCATAATGCTGCACGGAAGCAGAGCGTAAAGGCTGCGGCGGCATAGCGGGATCGTTCGGCAGGGTGGGGGTGGTGGAAATCTGTTCAGAATGAGAAGAAGAAAACTCCAGGGTTTATAAATTGGCTAGACAATGCTGTGCTGTCAGCTGAAATCATGTCTATTTTTAGTATGAGGCAACGTCACTTGGAATGTTTCGGATTTCTCAGCTCAGAAGAAAACAATTAAAAAGATTTTAATGGTCTCTTTTTTTCCTTTCTAGTTCATTTTTGCAAAGCGTCTCTTCTACCTGAGGTTAGGACACGACTTCAGTAGCACCCGAAGACTGAGGAGCATGCTGTTAACTCACAGGCAACCCACACGGACACGTGCAGACAGACCCAGGTACAGCACGACAGCTACACGGACACCGCACCTCCCCGGGGTCGATACAGAACATACACACAACGCGCAGATTTGCCTGTACAGAACCACAGAAACTTGCCTCCCGGGCTGTTTAGTCCATCCTCAGCCTTTAAGATTTGGGCTTATACTTTGATCAGGAGCTACTTCATAGGCTTTTCTCCTGTCCAGCGGCCTAGGTATCACGCTGTTCATTAGCCAGAGCCGAGTGGGAGGCAGTACAGGATCAGTGCCTGCTTGCTCGGCTGGCTGAGAGGAGGCTGCTGGTGGAAAAGGAACAGCACTGCGCTAAGGAACCCTTCCTCTCCCTCTGAGCTCAGCAGCAGCTGAGCCAACTTGCATCCTGCAGGAGCCACGCTCAAAAATCCCTTTCCTCCTGAATACTGTAACCCATACAACTGGGGTAGCCAGGGATGTACCTCAGGAACACTAATGGTTAATTGCTCCTGCAGTAGCAACAGGATTAAGAACTAAGAAGCGGTAATGGGGTACAGCCCTTTGCCTTCAGCACATTTCAACAGAGGATCTCAAAGCACCATGTACCGGGTTGCGTTTAGCAAACTAAACTAAACTAAACCGGTTGCGTTTAGCAAACTACGCTATGTCTGACCAGTTGTCTTCCCTGGTTGCAGGCCTCGTTTTTACAGCAAGAACAGGAATCATCTGCCCTCGAAGGCAGTCCTGAGCAGCCAGGGACTTGCGTGCGAAACCACCCCACTCCAACTTGGCCATACTCGCCCAGCTCCAGAG